GAACGGGCGTGCCAGGGAGTCGGTTTCATCCTTTCAGAAAGAATGGGTCAATGTGTGAAAGAGTATGAATGTGTAAGCCCGAGACTGCTATGGATACGAATGAAAGTGGGCTTAAAGAAGCTGTTCCTGCTAGGGGTGTACGCCCCAGACATGTCTAAGCCCGCTTACATTCGAGAGCAGTTTTGGGACATGGTAAGGATGGTGTTGACAAAATGTAAGGAAAATGAAAATATTATTATGCTAGGAGACTTTAATGGAAGGGTTGGGGTGAAGAGGTCTGGTTATGAAAGGATATTGGGAACGTTTGGTGATGAAAGTATAAATGAGAATGGTGAAGACCTCCTCACCGTATGTGCGGAAAAGAATCTTTTTGTGACGAATACTTTTTTTCGTCATAAGAAGATTCACATGTATACATGGGAAAGAGGTGATGATAGAAGCATGATAGATTTCGTAATTGTGGATGAAAGAATGAGGAGCGCAGTCGTAGATACAAGGGTTTACCGGGGGTCCAACGTAGGGACGGATCATTACTTGGTCTTATGTCGAATTAATGGTCTTTTCAAGCGTTGGCGGCATCGGACATCTGTGTCTACCACTGCGTTACAGCGTATAAGAATAGAGAAGTTACAAGATGAAGATGTGAAAGAGAAGTATAAATGTAGACTGAGAGAAAATATTAGATGTTTGAATGAGTTGTGTATGAATGATTTAGACTTGAAGACTGTGTGGGATAATATTAAGAAAGGTTTGGTGGATACCGCCACCGAAGTATGTGGTGTAAGTAAAAGAACAAATGAAAGGAAAAGTAATACGTTGTGGTGGGATGATGAGGTACGGGTGAAAGTTGAATCAAAGAAGAAAACATGGTTAGATTTACTAGCAACCAAAGCTGGTAATTCTTCTGGTATGAATGATGAGATTGAAAGAAAAAAGGCAGAATTTAGACGTCTAAATAAGAGAGTAAAAGAAGTTGTTGAAAGGAAAAAGAAAGAAAGAATGGATAAGAATGATAGAAGGATATCTGATAATTTCCAGGCTAACATAAAAATGTTCTGGAAACTCGTAAGAACTGCCAGGGGAAATACAAAACAGCCTATAATAAATGCTATAAGAGACGAGAATGGATGTATTCTGAATGATGAAGTTTCGAATTTAAACAGATGGAAGGAATACTTTCAAAGCGTGTTTATGAGTGAAGAGTCGTATGAATTGAATGAACTAGAAATTCCGAAAGAAGTGGAAAGGGGTATGGAGATAAGTGTAGATGAAATAATGAAAGCAATGAAAAGCATGAAAGCAGGTAAGGCAGCTGGATATGATAGAGTATCACTCGAGATGCTAAGGGCTGGAGAGGGAGTGGTGGCAAGCCTGCTGTACACCTTGTTTAATTTATGTTGGGAATTAAAACGGGTACCGGATGACTGGTGTAAAGCAGTTATAGTACCAATATATAAAGGAAAAGGGTCACAGCAGGACTGCAAAAACTACCGCGGTATCAGCTTGCTTAGTATTGTGGGTAAACTGTATGCTAAGGTGTTAATTGAAAGAGTTATGAAAGAAACTGATGGAAAAATTTGGGATGTGCAAGCGGGTTTTAGAAAGGGAATGGGGTGCACAGATCAAGTCTTTTCCATGCGCATGATTGCGGAGAAGTTTTTGGCCAAAAACCAGAAAGTTTTTTGTGCGTTCATGGACTTGGAAAAGGCTTATGACAGAGTGGACAGGAATGTGTTATGGCAAACACTGAACTCATATGGGTTGAGCGCTGGTTTGATACAGGCATTAGGGTCTCTTTATAGGGACTCTAGTGCTTGTGTCAGGATCAATGGGGTCTACTCGGACTGGTTTGGCATCCAAAAAGGTGTCAGACAGGGCTGTGTAGCTTCCCCTTGGCTGTTCAACCTATTTATGGACCGGTGTTTGCAAACTTTGAAAGATGAAGAATGTGGTTTAAGAATGGGCGAGTTAACCGTCAAATGCCTTTTGTATGCCGATGATCAAGTCATATTTGCGTCATCAGCGGCTGAGTTGCAAATGATGGTTACATTAATGAACTGGGAATTAAAAGAAAGGGGAATGAAAGTGAACGCAAGTAAGACGAAAGTGATGGTTTTTGAAAGAGAAGAAAGCAAAACGGTATGTGAAATAAGAATAGAAGGAGAGTTAATTGAGCAAGTGGATGAGTTTGTGTATTTGGGATGTGTATTTAGCAGGGATGGTAGATATGATAGGGATATAGAACGACGAGTAAATGCAGGGAATAGAGTGAATGGGGCACTACACTCTATTATGAAGAACCAGAATGTGTCAAAACAGGCACGTGTGGTAATTCATAATGCTGTGTTAGTCCCTACGTTAATGTATGGTAGTGAAAGCTGGGTGTGGCAGAAGAAGCACGAAAGTAGAATAAATGCTGTAGAAATGCGTTCTTTAAGAAATGTGCTAGGGTTTAATCTGAATGACAGGGTGAGAAATTGCGTGATAAGAGATAAATGTGGTATGCAAGATGATGTTGTGACCAGGATTAAGAAAGGAATGCTTCGGTGGTTTGGTCACGTAGAAAGAATGAATGATGAAAGAGTGACAAAGCAAATTTATATGGCAGATGTGAACGGCCGAGTCGGGAAGGGACGCCCTAGAAAAAAGTTTGTCGACCAAATTGGCGATATTTTGAAAATGGGCCACGTTAGAAGTACCCTTAACCGACGAGCATGTATGCGTAGATATATGGATGTAAAGGAGGCGAAAGAGGTATGTCAGGATCGTGCCAAATGGAAGTCCGTAATCTCTGCCTACCCCTCTGGGTGACAGGCGTGAGTGTTTATGTGTTATGTGTGTGCTTGAAAGTTTTAGTTCTAATATATCTATTTAGAATTTGGTATTAAAATTAAATAGATACGAATTGTCTTAAAATACAAAATATTATTCGAGTAATATTTTATAACTGTATTTGTAGTTTAAATTAAATTATTAATGAACTACGACTCGATAGATATTATGATGTATATTATAAAATTACGTACTATTTTAAATATCATGGTAGGCAATGATTGGTTTCAATTCCATATTTAGTTTAATTTAATTTAATAGTGTAACTTAGTACAATAAATTAATAGTGCAAATATACTTACGATAGAAAAGTGTATGTAAGTTTTCATTAAAACTAATTACTGTAAGGCGTTTATTGCGTGTAATTTTAACTTATTTTTTATTCCTGACCTTCTGGTCAATGTGTTTGTGTTTGCGTAATATATGAAGAATATCAAACTTTTTTATAAATATTTCATTTTATTAATTGGCGATTTTAAATAATGACGATCATGATGTTAATTAGTGAATCGTTGTATTTAATCGTTATACGAGACAGTAAGGCTCTTTTTCTCTCTGCTTTAGATTTCAGTCTAGGTCCCTCTTGGCTGTAACTGCCACTAGCTCACAGCTAGTACTCAGCTATACATCCACTTCTGAGTATTGGTTTGAAAGTTCAGAGAGAGACGTTATGTATAATTGCAAGCAGTTACCATTTCATCTCAGTCCTGTCATCCACATTGCATTTGTAGATTTCTTCGTTCATAGCTTGTTGAAAGTGTACTTTTAGCCGCATAACATGTCCACGTTCACGTCCAAGTCCACGTCCACATAACAAGGAGGCGTTTTAGCTCGTTTGTTGCTCTTACATTTTAAAAATGACAAATTTTAATGTGCGACTACTTATATTGAGTGTTATCTTTAAAAATAGAAGGGTAATTAAATAAAAAGGAAAAAATACATGTGAAATATTTAATAACATTATAACACAACTAAAAAACGTGAGTAATAAATGTTAAATCATAATACGATTAGCTTCGTCTATTAATAATCAATTAGTTTCGGCTATAATTGGTCCTATAAATACTCAGCGAGTGAATAGAGAATGGAAGTCATCCTTAAACTTTTAAAGTGATCATAAGATGGCTTTTTACTCATATTTGTCAATTTTTCTTCTGCTCACTGTGAAACTAAGTACTGCTTTGTCTACTAATAAAGATCAACCATTAAGTAAGTATCGTTTGAATTATTATACTATAATTGACTACTTTTTGGTTCTTAAAAATAATTTAGTGGTTCCCAATTATAGTGTTTTGAAGTGAAAACTTCTTTAGCGGCGTTGTACACTTTTTTATAATGGGTTAAAAAATGTTAAACTCGCGTCAGGACACGTGACCATGATCAAAAATTCGTAAGACGGATGGAGAGAGGGAGACAGCCGGCGCGGCGTAGGAGAGGAAGTAAGTCTTTCTACGGCGCGGCGAAAATGTATGCCTGCGCCTGCTCTTATGTTTCGTTTAGGCGGCACAGAGCGCTTGCGCGAATGTTCGTGTGTGATAATTAAAGCAATTCGTGCAAAATTATTCATTCCAAAATATCACAAATATACAACGTTAATATTAGGGTTTTCACTTCTGCCGGCACTCCCGGAGTGTAACCCGTCGTTTTATTTTTTATTTATAGTTTTTCACAACTCTGTGGCGTAATAGCTTAGCATTGAGTTGCGGCGCTGAGTGCCACGAGTTCGAATCCCGTACGGAGCAATATTATTTGTATGGCCTACAAATAATTAATCTGAATCTGAATGTATTTCCTTGTACAATTTAAGAATATAAGCTGCCTCCACGATACGGGAGAAAATCAGATAATGGGTAGAGTTTTTAAAAAAAAACTTGATGTCATGTTTTTTAAATAGCAACTACATAACATAAAAAGTGTGTTAGTAAAGCATTTCTTATAAACAAAAGAAGTATTTACTTATTTTGAAGTTATATCATGTGATGGGCTTGTTAAACAGCTTTCTAAATTATACGAATAGTGAACCCCATACCGTAAATACAATCATCATAATTGTGATGAATAGTGACACAAAAGAAATACCTAGTTACAATTAAATCATTCATATATACAAACTTTTAAGACATATAAAAACAAATTTACCAAGGTTAAAAACAAGTAATCATTTTTAAATGTATGCGCTTACAGTATGTCCGCCCAATGAAAAATATTACAAGTGTTCTTTAGAAGTATGCACTAAAACCTGCCAGGATTATACCAGTATTACTCCTCCGCCATGTCCTAATATATCACCAGATTGCTATAAGCCAGCGTGTTTGTGCGACGAGGATTATGTGAAAAACGAAAACGGAGTTTGCGTTCCTACCAGCGAATGTTGTAAGTCTTAAAGCTTTTATATAACGTGTTTAAATATCTAAAGTAAAAATAATAAAAAAAAAAACACTTTTGGTAAACCCAAATATGCATGGCTTAAGCGCTCATGTTATACGTCATTTTTTAAGTATTTAAAATACACACAGGTTTTCACTGTTAACCTTATCTTCATTTCGATTCAATTTTTTTCTTTAAAAACTTTCGCGCACTCCCTTTTTAAACTTGCGCCCCTCGGCATGTGCCTAGTTTGCCTTAAGGATAATCCGCCCCTGTCCAGAGGTAATAATGTACTCATCATAACTAACAAAACGAGCCCAAACTCAGCACACCGATTACTATTATTACTCTTCGAGGAGTTCCAGCTGCATTCAACGAACTATACCTTCAGGTCACTCCGTCAACTCCGGGGGTAAGGTCTCATCATAACTAACATTGCGAAGACAATCTCGGTACACCTAATTCTACTAGTCTAGGATTTCTAGTAGCAGATACTGAAGTACACTTTTAGGTCACTCCATAAAGTAAGTCCAAGACGTATAGGTATATTTCTAAGATGTTTTAATTTATATGTAAATTCTACGTACTTTTAGCAAAAGAGTACTTTGTTATAAAATCTGTAATTATATCATCATTTATCATCATCATTATAGCCCTTCACAAGTCCACTGCTGAAAATAGGCCTCCCCCAAGTAATGCCACAAAGCACGGTCTGTAATTATATAAATAATAATAATATCTTACCTTGGTCATGTGTGTATCAAATTTGGTTTTTGGAATATTTTGTATTTCTACAGCGATCGATATTTTTCACCACGAACCGCTGTAAAACGATACAGTAAACCATGGTTCCCGACATGATAGATGAAGAGATTAAAAAATAGATTGAGTTGAAAAGTTGATATTTTCAAAAGTTATTGTTTTTACCCCTCTACGCGGACTTGATAAATTGACACCATAACCCACTAAGACCATTTTTTTAATATAAAAATAGCAGTTAATCAATTTAAAAAAATATTATAAGTTCAACAATCATTTTATCTTTTTGACAATGTGCTTTTTATATCATTTATATGTTAAATATGATTGTTAGATACAATTTAATGTCAATAAACTCTTTGAAGGCGGTTTGGACTGCCAAATCGGAGTTGAATTTTTTTCATTGTAAGAAGTTGTCCAAATTCCGGAAAAAATGGTAATCTGTTGAAGCAAGATCCGGGGAATACGGTGGAAGTCGCAGACATTCCAATTGTAGCTCATCTAACTTAGTGGTTGTTTGTTGTGCAGTGTGTGGTCTTGCGTTGTCGTGAAGCAGTAGTGGCCTAGAGCGATTGACCAATCTCGGTTGTTTAGCAACTAGTTCTTCCTTCATGGTTTGCAGTTGCTGACAATAGATATGTGCCGTAATCGTTTGGTCAGATTTTACAAAGCTGTAGTGAACGATACGGTACGGTTTTAATAAAATAATAATTAAAGAGCTGCAGATACTCGGGGTAAACATTGACATAGGGACGTCAGTCACCTCAGCCCCCCGTAAAATGGATGCTTGAATGCACCCGATAAGTCGGGTTTTAATTACCAAATAAATCAAACGCGATAAAATCCGTAAAAGTAGTTACAATATGGTTATTATAACGGCAATTCTATTAAGTAACACTCTATTTATCGCTTAAATTTTTTGGTTTAAAATATGTAGAAGGATTTTGTGGTATTCTTCTTTAGACAAAAATGCAAGAAATATTAAATCAATCATTTACTAGGAGTCCGTCAGAGTAGGTCCGATAGCAACGGTAGGCTGCTTTGTTTCGGTCTATATGATAGAGATCTAGTATAATTATAGGCTGCAGGGCATTTCATCTTAGTCCTCAGACGTGAAGTCACATACGTAGTCTTATTTGTTTAAAGTTGGCTGGAGGTGTCCATAGACTGCAGTAGCCACTTATTAGCATGTGGACTATAAGTTTGTTTATCACTTCGGTTTTATCGTATAACATATTTAGTAACATTTTAATAAATATTTTATTTTTTCAGAGACATAAGTGTACTGGAAAACTCGATACTGAAATAAAAGCTACTTTATAAAAATGAATAACGAATTTTTATTATACGTTTACTTATTTTTTATGATGTAACCCTAATTATTTAAATATTTCTATTATAACTTTAAATTAAATTTTTAACATTTAGAATATACTTTTGATACAGATAAAGTTTAAAAGAGTAACTTTATATATTTATCCTTAGCTTTTATACATTTGACAACTCGGCAATAGCGCAGTGGCTAAAGATTTAGCTGTCGCGTTGCTGGACCGCTTTTTCATAACCCACAAATAAAAAGTTATTGTACCTATAACCTACAATTTATTGTATGGAGTCTGATTGTTTGTCCGTAACAGGAGATAATCCTTGTGTTGTTTTCAATTTTTCAGAAAAACAAACTTGGGATTAATTTTTTAACATAACAATAAATTTAAAATTACTGACCAAACATAATTGGATGCACAGCTATCTCAAATGGCTACTTTTAAAGATAAATTTTTTATCTTCTTCCTTTATATTAAAGTAAATTAGGTAAGATTTTTCTGCAGAATTATTTTTATATTTTGTAAAAAGGCATTTTTAATCTTCCTAAGTTCTAATAATACACATATTTCTGATTCACGATACCACCATCTCATCGTCTACTCTTAAGACACCATCGAGACGACTTGAAGGATGGAGGCTCCTACATTACCACCACACTGAGATTATCCTACTTACGGAATAAAAGTATTTAGTTAGTTACAGCCTACATACGAGTACGTTCTGTTATATCCCTTTCTACAAGGCAATAAAATCTTAGTAAGCATTTATTTAACCCACCGTACTTCTCCTTCGTACGACTTTAGTCAGCAATTGTATTGTTCTTTTCCATGTTCATTTTGATTCTATTTTTAATGATCGTAGATTGGACATAGATTCCGAGACGTATTAGAGTTCGGAAGTCAGAGACTATGTCTATTTGGTATGTAAACTTTTCTAATAAACCTTTAGGGCTACTTAGTGTTTTTTTTAAGTCAAACGGGATCGACCTCCAAGTTCGCACCAGCTGGCTCTAACTAACTAACCAACAAATATATATATTTGAAGAATTTTTTACATCTTTTATTCCTGCTATTTCCCACGACGTAGTCATCGTGTCAGCGATTCCATCCGCTAGCCGCCACGAGTGTAACCTGTCACCGATCTATTGTTACGCCTAAAGGTACACATCCTCGCCGGACGCATCGCACGCGCGGCACGTAACGGATTTTAGTTTCTTTGTATGATTTCACATGGCACTGCCACTATCCACTATCCGCACCGCCTGCACGTAACGCCAGCATTAAAGTTGTGCAAAACGATTATAAATCAATAGCACGCCACAGACTTTAAACTATGAATTTCCAGCACGCTATTAAATACACTATGTTATAGCGCGCTATTTATAAGAAAGCGTGTGGGAGGCTGGCAAGCGCGTAAAGTTTTATACGTGGTAGAGCCATATTGCAGTTATATTAGTAGTATAGTTGTAGCTGGAATGGGTCGGCTCGACCGGGGAAGCACCACGCTATCACAGAATACCAGCGTCAAATAGTAGCCACTTACCATCAGGTGAACTGTGTGCACACAGTCCACCAGATGGTAAGTGGTTGCTGTGGCCCATATACATCTGCATCTATCCTCGTTTGCGTATCAAAATGAAGATGCGTTGTCAGCCTTGAGGACTAAGATGGAATGCCTCTTTTCCAGTAAAAAGGGTCTCCGGTTCTCTACACTCACCATACGAAACACAGCAGCATTAAGCTGCTATTTGACGCTGGTATTCTGTGAGATCGTGGTCCTTCTCCGGTCAAGCCGACCCATTCGTGCTACAAGTATACAATTAATATAGCTGCAGCATGGCTCTACTACATAAAGTAGGCAGTATGTATTGATTGTATATACAAAAATCAACTATTTACGTATACTATTATATACACTTTTGTATAAAAACAATACAATTTTATTTACATTTAAAAACATTAGTTGGCTACTTTTGTAGCAGATAACCGTGTCCTTCGACCACTTATATATGTATATATATACATATATACATACATACATACATATATATATATATAATATATATATATATATATATATATATATATATATATATATATATATATATATATATATATATGTATATATATATGTATGTATGTATGTATATATATATACATATACATACAACGTCTAACACTACATTCGACCGCGCGCGGTGAATAGCGTGCTGCTAGAGCAAATTCGCATCATACGTCCGTTCCTGCTAAAGCGCGCTGCTGCTAAAACTAATTGCCGCTAGATATGAATAGCGCCAAAGCACCATAGCGTCATAGCGCTACGGCGACTACTTACATAGCACGCGCTATGCGTTATGGAAAGACAGCGCGTTATAATATGGTGCTATGTACTATATTAACCACCATTAGTCAACATTTATGAGCAAAAATGTGTTGCGTGCTAGTAAAGTTACGCAAATCAGTTTGTATCACAGCCCTACACTTGCGTGCGAACATCACTAGAAGCTGACCGCCGTGCACAATCTTCATCAAAAGAGGGAGCGGCACTCTGCGATTGGCCCCCAGCCCCAGCCCGTCGTCGGCTCGCAGCTCCAGTGCGCATCCAATCTCCTCGGACGCATGACCTTTGCTTAATTTCGCTCTAATTTTGTCAAGCTTTAGTAATGCTATATTTTGTATCCGCTTGCAATATAGGAGTTGTAAATAGGTAGTTGTCTTTCTATTACACGATCGATAGTAGTAGGTATAGTAGGCCTACAAGTTCGCCACTGGCATCGCCTACTGTCGCACGTGTTGTTTTGTTTAGCTTAACCCTTAGCCAGGCCTAGCGAGTTTTTTTCCTTTGAGTGTTGATTTGGGCAGAATATAAGGATATAAAAATAACAATACTATGTTTTTATTATGTTTGCCTATTCCTGAAAAAACACTGTGGCAAAAAACCCATATGACCACTGCCCATTGTACAAAAATAACGTGGTCCGCTATTAAGCACGTGCACAGCTATTAAGGATTAGACTACTTCATAGTAAATTATTCACTGATATAATAAAACAAGGCTTGAACCTAGAAAAATGTTTATTTTTATAATTATCAAGACAAGGTGCTGTACAAAGCAGAACTTGAGATATTTTGCACATTATTTTGACGTATTTGAAATAATATTTTAGAAATGATCTCTGTGGGTTTTATCTTGTACTGCAGTATCTGAATCGTTTCCTGGTCATCGTCACATGGTGCCTTCTTATCAAATGGGCAGAGGTCATGTGAGGACCACAAATTTTGTCGAAAATATTAATTTAAAGATAAATAAAAATATAAGATAAATAAGTACTGTTACATAATATCATAAAAATATATAAATTATAATATTATATAATTTCATTTATGCACAAACATTCTACGTTTAGTTTTATGCTCTTCTTCATCTTTCAACAAGCAGCTAGTAAAAATAATATCTTGATCAATCTCCATGACCGAACACGTCAACTCACGACAATAAAACACTCTAAACTAATATAAAAATCCGGATACACTTGACGTAAGGTATCGGCAAATCTGTTCAATCCGTTGCGTGCCGTGCGTACGGTGTGTCCGGTGCGGGCCAGTGAACGCCTACATTTAACGCTACGTATAGTAGTTATTATTTTCCTGTAATTCGTTTTGTTTACTACTTTAAATTTAAAACATAACTTTATTTTTCTACTATTACTACCCTTTTTCGTTACTTTTGATATGTTTATTTTATATAACTTTAAGTTTTAATTTCAATTCTGTGTCGCTTAAAGCAGTAAAAAGTAAAGACACGAAATTTGTAAAATCTTATAATGGGAAGAAATTATCCCTATCCGCTTTTTTACCAACTGTATTGCACGTCGTTGACTACACCAGAATAACAGCCTATTCTATCAAAATTCATTATCTTACAACTTGCATGTAATTTAAAAAATTCGGAAACGTGCAAAACTGCAAACAGTCATCCAAGGACGTTACTAAATTTTCGTTAAAATTAGAACCAATTCCAACAAAAATCTGGTCACATATACACTACAACTGCAAAATTCCTGAAGAACTTCCAGGTAGAATAGCTGCAATGGAGGATCTAGCATTAAATATATTTTTATTAGGTTTAAACCCTGCTATTTCCACTATTGTTAGGTGTAGAATCCCTAAAGTTAGCTGTTAAATTAGCAATTGAAGAAGAAAAATTACAAAATTTCCAAAAGTGTTCGAAAAATTCAATAAAACAGTCAAATATTTGTAATAAAGTGGGTCATGACCATACGCAATGTTTCAAAAATAAAAAAAACATTCTAATTTTAATCATAATAAACAAATCGTTTACTACATCTACATTTCAGCAGCCCAAAGAGGTCAAGCAGTCTTAATGAATCTTATTCCAATTATTTTCCTATTTTTAAAACGAGCATAAATACATGCAAGGTTTCGTTACCATATACGAATTTATTGAAAAAATACTCTCTTATCTATATGTATCTCAAATGTATCTCAAACTTCTTATCGAAGCTGGCGCAAGCATCTGTGTCATAAAATACTTATGTCTAAAAACGAAACATGAACTTCTTAAGAACAAGGTAAGAATCACATGTATAAATGATACTGATACATATTGCAAAACTCTAGGCTTAATCTACAATTTTTATTATGTGATGTAAATTACGAGCATAAATTTTTTGTCATTAAGGTGTATCCCTGACCAAAATGTTGCGAAAGTGCGTTTTTCAGACTCTATTATCTCATTAGTTATGAAAAATAAACTACATCTAAAAGTACATTATTAATGTTCGATATCTTATCATCACATTCCACGTTCTAATTTATTTTTATGTGCTATATGCATCTGTTGCTAAACGCAACGCTCTAACATTAGAGAATTACACTAATGGATATATAATTTAAAAATCTATATTCTCCACGTTTTATTTAAATTTTTAAGTTCGTTTTTCATTTTTAATTGAAATAATTCCGAAAATTATGTGAATTTTATGACAAAGAGGCGTGCGCAGAGTGTGGGCGGCATTACACTGTATGTGTTCGTACGAGGTAGCTGTGTCGCTCGTCGCCGTCGACGACGTTCCGTATTTCGCCGCAAACATAATATTATTTGGGTTTTGTTGTCATGCAAGATCTAATATAATTCATTCTTTATTGCAGGCTAAATATGAACAATGACGATACGGCAGTAAACGACTTGAGTCAAGAAACCATATAATTACAGTATACCTGTCTTGGTTCAACTGAAATGGTTGAAGATGTAAAGTTTTGTTTATTTAACTTTTTGGTTTGTAGGTATTATGGTGCACAAATGTGTACTTATCTAATCAAAATACTTTAGTAGGTATTGTGATTAGGTACACACTTGTGCTTGTGATTAGGTAAAAGATAACTAAGTAAGTACTGTAAAATGCCATAATTTGACTTACCTAGCCTTACTTTGCATTAACCGATCATTTGAATTTCATTAGTAGGCTAGTCGAGCTAGAGTTAAAGTTAAAGTTATAGCCTATATACGTCCCACTCCTGGGCACAGGCCTCCGCTCATTTCTGAAAGGGTCCTAGGAAAGGAATTGTCCACCGCGCTGCCCCAATGCGTGTTGGCGAACTTCGCATGTCTTCGAAATATTTTTTTTCTTATTTCTCAGACATGCAGGTTTCCTCACAACGTTTTCCTTCACCACTGAGCACGTGGTAAATCAACACTTAAAATTGCAATTACAATTTCATTGGTGCCGGCGGGGATCGAACCCGGTTTGCCCGCGCACTGTGAAAATTTCAGCAAGCGCTAACCATCTGAGCTACCACGGCTCCTCTCCTCTCGAGCTAAAGACTTTATTTTATTTATGGTACGATTTTTGTCGCATGCCAACGCAGCGCTTACTTTTGGTTCTGTCAAAAAGTTGTGAAACGTCTGTGAACGTCAGAATTTAAATGTTAGTCGCAGATATTTTACCTGCACTACAAAATTTTATTGTGTTAGAATTTTAAACTATTTTTACGGATTTAATGAACTATATTAAATAAAAAAATAGTCTCCTATCTTTCTCTCTATGTTTTGATCTTCTAAAACGAGTTTGAGTTGGTAAAATAAAGGCAAACTTAGGATAGGATTGTCAATTATTATTTTGATAATAAAACTAATGAAATTCCGCGGTTTTATATGCGCAAGCGTGAACGTAGTTAGAATATAATATAACCTTTATGTTTTACATAAATATCCTAAAAAAACTTATTATTTTAATATGTTGCTACCTATAAAATTAACAAGTTTGTTGCATTTTTATTTAAGTAATTTTTTATGCAATTTCTTTATCTACGTCTATTTTTAGGAACCTTTATTTAGTCTGAATCATACATAACACTATATTACTGATTTACTCACTTATACGTAGTTTTCTTTTTTGCAGTTACAAATATCTTGTGAGGTTGAAAAAGGCAGTAATGAAAAAATAATAAGAAGAATAATAATTGACGTCAGCCACTTCTTTTCATAAAAATTTCAAATCATGGTCCATTAGGTTGCAGCTTCACCGAACCACAGCTTATCGGAGAAACATAAAAGGCTTAGAGTCAAAATTTACGCTTAAATGCCAATTATGTAACCAAAAATTTGTAATAGTAAACGATGATTGTAGTGAAAATTATTTATCATTAAATGAATGTGCAGTCGTAGGTATGATTGAAATAGGCGCGGGAAATTAGCAACTAAACGAGCTATTGTTATCAAAGACTCTTCCTTCTTTATCCGAATATATATATTACTAGCTGACCCGGCAGACTTCGTACTGCCTCAATCGATAAATAAAAGACCTAAACTTTTGTATAAATTAATTTCAAAACAAACAAAACGTATTGAATAAAAAAAGCATTTTTTTAATGAAGCATGAAGTTTTATTATTATTTTCGACACATCATGTTGCTTACTTAAAAAAAAAAACAGAGTTTTCCTGAAATACTGGCTATTTATAAGGTTTAAATTTTTATTAAAAGATACACACTGTTATGATACAGTTTGTTAACCCTTAATTGATCTGTTAGGTCCCAGGGACTCCACGCGATTTTCAAAGTGTTGTGATTTCTTTGTTTTGGCACTCAAAGGCTTGTGCGTCACAGTACCTTCATACAGTAGCGTGCGACGCGCAGGGGAGAGAGGACGTGCGTCTGCGCTTCATCCATCGGTGAGTTTTTAAGCTAGTAGAGTCCGCCGGACGCCACCAGGGCATTTGTGTAACTTTTTTTTCAATATCACTTATTATTATTTTTGTTTTTTTTTTGTTTTAGACTGGAAAATGGCTTCGAATAGACAAGTAGTTAGCGTAGATCAACCAAATGCTGAATCTATTCTACTCGACTGGCTAAATGACGAAGATTGTACCGACGATGAATCTCAATCACTTGAACCATCTCGAGCTGTGATACCTGAAGAACTATTATCCGACTCTGAAGATGACTGTATACCTTCTGATCACGACTCGGACTCAGAGTGTTTAGTTAATTCAGATGATGAAGATGTGTTGACCTCAGGTGAGAGCGCTAAATATTATTACGGAAAAAACCGATTCAAATGGTCAAGCGAACCCCCGTCAAGAAACATCCGCACACAGTCTCACAATATTCTTCGTTTACCTTCAAACCAAAATGATTTAGTTACAGAGAATGGTCCGATTTCTCCTTTGGATGCATTTCAGCTTATTTTTGATAATCAAATGATAGAAAGATTTTAGAGTGGACTAATAAAAAATTGGAAATAGTTCGTGAGACCATTTCACCAAAGGTGCAATACGCTTTCAAGGAGACGAGCCAAATAGAACTGAAAGGTTTTCTCTCTCTGCTACTATATAGTGCAGCATTTAAGTCCAATCATGAAAGTGTATTGTCGTTGTTTGCAACTGACGGAACAGGGAGACCTATATTTCGGGTTTCTATGTCTAAAAAACGTTTCCTTATACTACTTCTAGTTCTCAGATTTGACAATTTCACTGATAGAGAAGCTCGAAAAATAATCGATCCAGGCTGTGCTGTTACTGAATTTCTTGAAATGTTCAATAAAAACTCACAAGCAAGGTATGTCCCAGGTGCTAATGTTACTGTTGACGAGATGCTGCTGGCTTTTCGTGGAAGGTGTAGGTTTAAAATGTATATCCCCAGTAAGCCAGCCAAATATGGAGTGAAGGTGTCTAGCTGATTCTGTAACATTCTACGTATATAACACTTACATATATACAGGAAAAGGATCTGACTCTTACACATTATCAGAAGAAGATAAGAAAAAGCCTGTTCCAACTCAAGCAGTACTTAGACTGTGTAAGCCAATATTTAACACCAACAGAAATATAACAACAGACAATTGGTATTCGTCAATAGAACTTTCACAAGAACTTAAAAATAAAGGATTGACTACAGTAGGTACTTTGAAAAAAAAAACAAAGCTGTCATTCCAAAAGAGTTTTTACCTGCGAAGAACAAAGAGCTGAATAGTTCACTGTTTGGATTTACGAAAGATTGCACTTTAGTCAGTTTTGTGCCTAAAAAAAACAAAGCAGTAATATTGTACTCTACGATGCATCACGATTCTAAAATTAATCCAGAAACTCTAAAGCCTGAAATTATTGAATATTATAATGACACAAAAAGTGGCGTAGATTCGGTGGACCAAAAATGCTCTGTATATTCATGCAGTCGACGTACGCGACGTTGGCCAATGGCAGTTTTTTTCCGCATATTGGACATGAGTGCGTGGAACAGCTATGTTATTCACAAAAGCCACGCAGATATCAGCAAAATGACACGTCTAAATTACATAAAAGGATTGGCTGAGCAACTAAATGACATGAATTTGAAATCACGGCAATACAACGAAAGACTTCCTCGTCAGCTACGCGAGTTGATATCTGACATCACAAAGGTACCTCTTGTAGAAGAACAACAAGTTTTAGATGACAAATTGCCTAGAAACCAAAGAAAATACTGCCATATATGTCCTAAACGCCTGAAAAGAAATACTTCATTTTTGTGCCATACCTGTATGAAGCCAGTATGTTTGGCATGTACGAAGAAGATTTGCACTCATTGTGTTGCGGCAGCTAAAGATTAAGTGTTGCACGTTTTTTATTTTTATATGAAACAGTATTCTTTTTTTAGTCTATTTTCATAAGTTCATTAGATTGTTTAAGTATTTTCTAAGTAAAAAAATTAATATTCCTTATATTCAAATTGTTATAGCAGCTAGAAGTTGAAGCAAATTTTTGTTAATTTAATTTCATTTTTCGAATGCTAAAATGTTCAAATGATAATTAATACCAAAGTTTTATATAAAAGTAAGAGAAGGTAATGTTTTTTAGTTAAATAAATGATTTTGAACATAAAATGTCGCTTCACTTTAAATTTATCAACAATTTCTTGAATTGAAGTCCCTCGGACTCCACCAGATAAATTAAAGTATATTTAGGCACCAGGTTAACTGAGGGTTAATCAATTTAAAGCTTTGAAATAATACTAGTTTTTACGGAATTTATCGCGTATATTTAACTTTTTAATTACCCGACGTTTCGAGAAGCTTTACAGCACCCATGGTCACGGGAACCTTCCCGTGACCATGGGTGCTGTAAAGCTCTCGAAACGTCGGGTAATTAAAAAGTTAAATATACGCGATAAATTCCGTAAAAACTAGTATTATTTCAATGTGTAGTGTTCGCGTAAATATAAGAAATTTAAAGCTTTCTCATAAACTATATTTTTTGTTTTGTTTTGTGGTGCGTAAATAAACAAAGAAGACGGTTTTTCGACGCGCGAACACGCGACGTATAATTGTCCATGCGCGAAACAGGGAAACTCCAAGTTGATTGCGCAAATTTCTAAAGACTGTCCCTGCGATTTATTTATTGTCATCGCAAAGGCCAGACGTACTGGAAATTGTAAGCGTTTAAAATCGAATGGTAAATCCGTTGGAATCATCGGTATTCGCGGAATCAAGACATCCTCTCCTTTGTATTTTCCTTTTATGATTGTTGCCTCAATGACGTTATTCATCAGATTTTTCACAGCCAGTCTTGTTCTATTGCATAGTCGAGGTTGATTAATGTTACGCAGCATGATGACAACTGATCCTACTTTTAACTGCAAATTGTGAAGTGGTAATCCAGGCAATTCCAGTGAATTTAAAAACTCCGTGGGATAGTTGACTACATCATCCTGGTTCGTAACGGTGTCGACTGATTTGAAGGAAACCAACTGTCCTGGAAGAAAATTCTGAATGGTCGCATTGAGATCCTCGACATCTTTATTTTTCGCTGCCAATATTGCTCGTTCACCCAGCCAATTATGGTTATTGAACTTTTGCGCTATATCTGAGAAAACACGCTGAATAAGCTCCTCTTTTGAATATGTGATGTGACAGAAATCTGTGGGTAATATGATGAATCCGGTCGAGGTGTCCATTGCAACTTTATTATTTCCAATATCTAACAACTGCTTCGCAAACACATTTGCAGTTTCATCATGTTGCAAAAATACTCGCATGTTAGTTGTTAATTGGAGTGTCTTTACGTACTGCTACAAATTCGATGATTTTAGGCATGCATTTAGTTCATCAGCAACAGTTGATCGGGGAATAACTGGAAGAGTCTGACGAAAATCACCTGACAACAGAATCATGGCCCCACCAAAAATATTTTGGTTGTCACGAAGATCTTCAATGTTCTGTCCAGCGCCTCCAGTGACCTCTTATGGGCCATTGTGCATTCAACCCAAACAATTAATTTGCATACCTTTAGGATCTTGGCCATTGCGCTATTTTTGGCGATGTTGCAAATTGGTGTTTCGGTGATTTTCATGTTTAATGGTAATTTCAAGGCAGAATGCGCAGTTCGTCCGCCTTCTAGCAGAGTCTCAGCTATTCCAGATGAAGCCAACGCTAGAGCAACATCATTTCGCGATCTGATTCTCGCCAAAAGCAATGAAATTAAGAACGTTTTTCCGGTTCCTCCGGGAGCATCAAGGAAATAAATTCCACCAGATCCACTGTTCACAGCTTCTATCAAAGTGTCGTACGCAATTCTTTGTTGGTGATTTAATTGTAGAACATTTGTACGAACTGTTTCGACCAATGCTTCAATGTCGTACTGTTGTTCCCTTTGCAACTCGTGGTTTAATGCATTGTGCATATGACGATTGGGTGCTGTCATTGCCAAACACGACAATACTTTATTTGCTATCAATAAACACATATCTTCTATCATGATCAATGTCTCATTGTAAATTTCTTCAGTCATTTGTAGTGTAGGATTCAAAGTTTCACGGTGCACACGCTGCAAAACATCCTCAGACATGTCATCTCTATACTTAACCCACAAATCTTTTGGATTCGAGGGGAAACATGTCGATATGATAATCGCAAACAATGTACGAATTTGATGCGGCGATGAAGATATTACGGAATCCTTGAGCGTATCATCCCAGTGCGAATCGTTCTCAAGTAAATGTAATAGTTGGCATGCCTCACGGTAAGTCGCACACAGCTGTCCAATAACTGTTCTCAGTTGTTTGAACGATGTCGGACCACGAACATTCACCAACAACAATCGCAAATAAAAACATTCATCGTTATTTGGATGTACTGTGTAGATGCGACCCAGAGCGTCTGAAGCAAATACATTTGGATGTCCTTCAACTGGTGTTCCTTGTTTTCGACGCTGAAACGATTTCGATGATGCATTCCATATGTAATAGCGTGGCATGTCAGCATACAACAAAGTGCGAGCAAAATCATCAGTTTGACAGACTGTGAAGAAACTTGTTAATGTTGTCGATGGTGGACGTGCCGCTCTGTCTGCCGTGTTCGATTCATTAAAATAAACTCGTTGACCATTTTCTAAATGGACCGCCAAATGGACTACTGTAGGGTATCTTTCATGGATCGCAAATGAAAATATACGCCAAATTGCTTCGTTGCTACTTACATAGCGCCCCATCTGGTACTGTGCTATTTCATCATTTGCATTGGTTACAGCGAAGACAGCCATATCGCTGCCTTTGTTAACATATTTACATATGTACTTTATCGACTTTACAGAGTTACAATATTCCACATTGATGTGAGTCTCAAAAGCTTTGGACAATATTGGCGAGTATGGCACAATCCAACGATTGTCTACATCAACATTTTGTCCTCTTACCTTCACAACTACCGACTGCCCATTGTCCGCAACTGATCGCCGACGATACAATGGGTATCCATCATTTCCCGTTATGGTTTCAGCAAGCAGGTCTCTTGGGTATCGCTTGGAACACTTGCCGTCGACCATACAGGGTGAATTGTAGTTGAAAAGTCCGCAAGGTCCATGTATCATGTGTTTGGTAACTACTGCATGCAATTTTGTGTCAACTGTTTCATCTGGAATTTCAGCTGAAATTATGGAATCAATCTCATCTGGCCTTATTTTGTCCACTAACCAGAGTAAAATGTGCGCATGTAGCAATCCACGCTTTTGCCATTCTACAGAGTACATTCAACAACGGACTTGGCCATACACACAATGCTTTATTAAGAAATTCATCAGAGATTTTAATTTTTGTTTAAAAACTCTGGCAATTATGTCATGTCTAACAACTGATGTTTGGCTATGTAGCAATTCCCTCTTTATTTCGGACCAATTTGGGTTACATGTGAATGTAACAAATAAGTCTGGGCGGCCATAATACCTAACATATGACATAGCATCCTGAGCATATTCGTGCATGTGGCGTGGGCTTCCTATATAATGGCTGGCAAAATTGTCATTCTTCCTACATTATTCATATTGCCACCGGCATTTATAGCATCGCGGAGATGAATGTATTCCTCTGATCGTAGCTGTCGTTGGTTCAAACGGATGAATGTTAATCGTTCAGTCTCAATTTTGACATACATGTCAACTGCAAACTGATGAAAAAGTCGTTGACACATCAAAATATGATTTATTTCACCTTGACGGATCATGAGTCTGTATGAATAGAAATTCATAGCACTAACTTTTTTGTTGGTTTCAGCACCTGCAATCAAAAATGATAAATGTTACTTGGATGAATTGAATTTAAAAATATTATTTAATCCTGCTCAATTTATTTACCTGTTACTTGATTTACCATTTTGATATTAAAATGGTATCCATCTTCCCCCTGTCAGAAGATCAAAGGATATTGTAATCCATCATAGCTCCTGTGTGTTTCAGATACACGTTTTAAATCACTATTCCGACGATGAAGCACAATATCTCTAGATTGTAAATTTTCTCCCTCAATGACAACAGCCACTTCATCAATGGTAGGTGAATTAAACCTCCTTGTGTGTTCACCGGCAGGTGTTTTGTCAGCTCGAATGATAATATTATGGCTATCAGATGGCATCCGATCCAATGCTATTTTGAACATGTTTACTAAACTGTTATTCTGATGAAGAAACATTTGTAATTCTTGGACAATGGTTCTCTTCACTGTTGGACTGTGAGCACAACGATTATCAACTTCCGCATCTGAATTGCTCATAAAATAAATTTGTAAAAATTGATGATCTGCATCAGGTAGTGGTAACAGTGCCCCCAGTAAGTGATAAATTTGTCCTTGTATCTGTAATATTTTAAATTTTGTCCATTAATTCTTTCATATATACAGCGTGTAACGGAAGGGGGGTATCAACCTTTAATGAGGTGAATGTGGTCATGAAACTCAACAACTTTCCCCAAAGAACATAGGTTGAAATATGAAAAAAAAAATTTGGCCCTCCCTTACAAAACTGACTACCAGCTGATCGATTTACTATGGGAGGGCCAAATTTTTTTTTCATATTTCGAAAACTTGAATATTATAAAAAAATATTCTGGTATAATACTTTGAAAGTGGGCATGAAATTGTCCTGTATAATATGTGTAGCGCCAAATGATGTCATCTGGAAACAGTTGTATATTTCTGAATGTTGGCCAAGAAGTGCTTAGAATCATTTCCAATCCCAGAAACTAAAGAGCGTAAAGGATCTGGTGGTGGGACCAATTGTGGCAATTTTACTTTGCCTCCAGCACAACATAATCCAGTAAATTCACCAGTGTATTTTAACGCCTTACAATATTTACAAATTATTTTCATTTCCCCAATTGTTACCGATTTATCGGCACAATAATCAATTGCCGGATCATAGTGGAATGCAGCTCGTTCAAGAATCACAGCAGCACTGCGTCTGCGGATTCGCTCAATTTCATTATGTCGTGCTCGCTGTTGTTGTGTGTGATGTGCACGAACTCGTTGCATTCTAAGCCTATCCACTTCATTGTCACTCACTAAATAACGCAATTCTGACATAGCAATACGACTATTTTCTTGATCTGTCTCTCTCTCGTCGTCAGTGCGGTTAGCACGTGAGGTAGATCTTCGCACATTTGATTGACTGAGACAACCTAAGTTAGGTCGTCTTCTCCTCGGCATCGTAACGTAATTAATCAAAGTGAGAAAATTTCTCACTCACTTAACAGTAACTTAACAGTAAAGAGTCACTATCACAAAATATCAACAAAAAAAGAGCACACTACTTGGAATGTCACTATCACAAAGGATCACAAAAGTAAAGAAAGTTCTCGCGTACGTAGCGGTAATCGTCACTCACAAAGATAGAAGGATGCACTCATAGAATATCGTAACCATGATCGTAACACAATATCGTCAATCGTAATACTTTTTTCCGTGTTCTGATTTTTGAGTTTACCTTTATGCCATAAATCTCCGTGTTCTAAAGTGCGACAGAATGATTGACATATTAGTTGGTTGTCAAATCTAATGTCAAATATTATGGTTGTGTTCAGAACCTTAATTTGTGACAAAACTTAAGATTTATCAAACTTAAAAAAATAATCTGTTACAGTTACAACTGAAATTAGCTAAAATTAAATTTCACGAAGCCGACCAAATTAATTGGAAATCAGTACTACTAATAGTTTATTACATTTTTGTCGCATTCGCGATTCACTTTTGTTTATTTTCGGAACGCGACATTAGATCCTCCAAAGCGCACGCGAAGACTATTTTCTTAGATATGATTGAATTTGAACTTTATGCAGCGGTAATAAATTGCAAATTGACTCTTTGACGTTAGGAACACACCTAAATTGCTTAGAAAACAGTGAGTGGTTATAATTTAATATGAACTTTATTGAATAGCAATAAAGTTCAAATTGACTCTAGAAAACGTTTGTATGGGAAATAGAAAAGGGCTGTTTTTAGGGTTTTCCCGGAAATTATTCGATTTTTTCTCGCCTTTTTAAACCTTCCCTAGATCTCCACGAACATTTCAAGACTAAGATAAGATAAATCCGTTCAGCCGTTCTCGAGTTTTAGTGAGACTAACGAACAGCAATTCATTTTTATATATATAGATAACCCAAATTATTGAAAAAATGGGAAAGTGTTTCCATAGAAAATAAAATTTTGACTGTCGGACTGTCAAATGTGAAGAACTGTACACAGTGATGGAGAAGCTTGCACGTCTCCAACCAGCTCCGGTCAATCGCTCGTCCCCGTATGACCTCATACCGCATAACAGACGATCTCCAAGTTACAAGAACTGGGGTAGTAACTAAGCTCTCCGTCATTGGCCGTACTGACTAGACCTTGCACCAACAGACTTCCGTTCTTTACCCGTCCAGTTGATTTCTTCAAGAACGGCATCAATAAACTAGCACTGCGCTGGCAAAGATGCATCAATTGTATGCGTGATTAATTTGAATATCAAATTAAAATTTTATTCAAATAACCAGTTCAGTTTTTTCTATTATGTCAATAAGATTAAAAAATATTATTCATGTAATTTTTATCTAAATGTAACTTATATATATATATATATATATATATATATATATATATATATATATATATATATATATATAAGTCAATTTGTGTAACTGTTCATGGGTATATTGCCATAGTTACCACGCTTGGCTAGCGGGTTGGCATCCGCGGTTTTTTTTGTACAATTGCTGTTATCAGGAAGATGCTGCTGCCAATCTCCTGCCTGTTTCCCTCTGTCGCCTTTTACGACACCCAAGGGAAGATATGGGGTTGTGGATATTTTTAACCGCCACTACACGGCAAATCTCTCTTCGGATATCTCACGGGAAAATCTCTGACTTGTGATTCTTAAAAAAACTTTTTGATATTATAATTTGACATTTACGATATAATTTAAATTATGTTTTTTTGCGTGAAAGTATTTTTTTAATGTAAATAAAGTAATCAAAATTAGAATTTATATAATTGTGTTCATTTCTAGGATACAGAGAAAATATTAAAGTGTTTTTATTTGAAGAATAAATAATTAAGTACATTTATTTTATTTTATATACAGGTGGCTTATTTTACCGTTTGGAAAAAATCGGGTTTGACATTTCTATTTTAATAAACTATATTGATATTTTACAGACACTGATATTTCACAAAAAATACCAACAAAAACTTTGAATTAAATAAATTAATTAATTGAAATCTACTAAAATTCAAAACATATCCACTCTAATTTACGAACGGCAATAAAACAATAAATTTAGTAGGCATTTTTGACGTTGTCACTTCTCAGGGTCACAAGCTCAAGGGCAAAGGTATATATATATATATATATATATATATATATCACCCAGAGGGGTAGGCAGAGACCACGGACTTCCATTTGACACGATCCTGACATACCTCTTTCGCCTCCTTTACATCCATATATCTACGCATACATGCTCGTCGGTTAAGGGTACTTTTAACGTGGCCCATTTTCAAAATATCGCCAATTTGGTCGATAAACTTTTTTCTAGGGCGTCCCTTCCCGACTCTGCCGTTCACATCTGCCATATAAATTTGCTTTGTCACTCTTTCTATATATATATAACCACTTATGTATATGCGCGTATGTATGCGGCGCGTATGTGTTCATTTATTAGCTGCAGCTGTTTGTTTATAATTTAAGGAAGTAAAAAAATTTGTAATCAATTTCTTACATTCAAGATAATAAAATTGACTTTATATTTTATTTTGTTCTATTTATTAATACCCACCCAGTATTACTAATCACAAATAATCACAATACCTCATTCGTTATTGTAATCGGGCAAAAATATCTATTTAGTTACTAATGCTATATTATTTATTTTAAGAATTACCTACCCAGTAGGGAAATATTAAAATAATAAATGTAGCATTATAAACAGTAAATCTCCCTCAAACTCAATTTACTAATGTTCCTAAATAAGGAATAGCAGATAAAAGATTAGTAGGTAATAACTATTGCTCCTCAAAATTATATTTGACCTCAAGGTAAAACATATCCTAAAATTCAGTAGCTAAATAAAATAATAATACCTACTATTCAAGTATTTTTTCAATATGTAAGTAAATGAAAATAACAAATATTAAGCACCATTAGCATGTAAAGTTTGAATCCATAATTAACATTATTATTTGACAAATATTATAATTTACACTATAAAAAACTAATTCAATATTATCAGTATAGTATAGAGTTAAAAATAATCATTTTTATTAATTAGATAATATATGAGAATACATAATTCTAATATAATGCAACTAATATACCGAATAAAGACAATTAAAATACATTTATCATTGTATGCCGTGTCTATTTCCATAAAATGTTCATTGACATTGAAAAATTAATACTACGTTCGTACCAGTCGGTGGCGTCTTGCAGATTTCTTACGCGATAACGATATATTGTAGTGAGCGTCGGCAGACCGAACGCTCAAGGTCGTTTGCTAGGGGTATGGCCTTAACGATAGTATAAATCTTAATACGACGGTATTATTGGTACGGATTTTCTTAAATATTTTAATGTGATATAAATTATAGCTCTAAGATATTGACTGTTTGCGGCCACTAAGTTCCTATTATTATTTCGTCACATTATTGGAAGATATAGATGTTATATATAAGTATTTTATATCCATATATAAATTAAACAGGTAGTCCTTTCATTGTTCGGGCAATGAATCGCACGCTTTTTCATCATTCATCATCTATTTTGACAATCGATTTAAACTGTCGATTATTTTCCTTACTTTGTTCCCGTCATCTTGCTTAATTATTTTACTGAACGTGCAGTACACTACACGCGTCTGTTACAATTTAATGCCGAAACGAATTGCCGAAGACTAAATTGTTGTGTTGTTGTTTTATTGTAAAAGCGTATACATTGGCCCGTAAATGAATTACTAATTTTATGGAATCTAGTAACTTGTATTGTAAGCTTATGTTCATTCCTAGTGTTTAAAATACGAACATCTTTATTCTTATGAAAGCTATTTATGTTTTTATTTTCGATTCGGGCTTTCTCGGGAGCTGTCATCGCGTCATCAGTACTGAGAAAAACAAATGATTTTCAATTTGCTATAACTTCTTAATTACAACGAAAAAATAAATTTAGAATAGATTTTAATACATATATAATTATATATCTTTAGATATATTATATATCTTTAGATTTGAGACCAGAAAATTTTGTTATATTCACAATATATACATTATTTTATTTTTTATTTATTAAAATATATCGGTACATATAAAATATTGGATTTTTGTATTTTTATCCCAAACATTTCATTTAGTAGATTGAATAATTATAATAAAAAGTAAACATAAATTCTACACTTAAAGGTAGCGGACATGCAGTACGTTGTTTTATTGGTCATAAAATACATCTGCCTCGATTAAAGTGAACGCAAGTACAGCAAGCGTTTTTCATTTATCTTCTTTATTAAGTTAACATTTACCATTAAAAAAACTTTATAGCGTCTCTTAATAATTTGACAACGCTGACGGGAGGATTGAATTTAATCTTTACACTTGTCAGGTAGAATAACGATCGCAGTAGGAGATATCTCGCGCCTTTGATGTTTCTTTCTTCGCTACTTTATTGTTAAATAATTTTAAGAAGAAAATGAAGTGCAAAAAATAATGAATATGAAGTTTCGTGCGTCTAAACCAATATACGAAACTAAATTTTTAATCCGCCTCCGTATACATTTCTTACAGCCCGCTCAAACGCTGCTAGCGTGTCTTCTGGCGATAAAAACTATATTATTTTTTTCTGATTTTTAATTTTAAGAAATAAAAAGAAGTTACATGATTCCAAATCAGGAATGTAAGGAGGATAATCAAAAGGTTTAATAAGCATGCTGTCCAGGAATGCCTCGCGCTGACTTTGCGGGCGCTTTGTATACATTCATCGCGAGAAAATGTTCCTGACTCAGAATATTTGTTTCTCTCGGCAGGTATATCAATTCGATGTACATGTGTGCAAAAGCTTTACCGTGGCCCTGCCAATATGCGATGAAGGTAGAACACCATGGGGTTTTGGTCGGTGTGAGTCCGACGTAAGCCCTCCTAAGCCCTGCGAAGCGCGTATGCGTAGGCATTTCCCCGTGAAAAAGGTTGGTAGCTCAATAATTAGCTCGTAAAAAATGGGGAAAAATTTTGGAACATTCGTATTTCAATTAATAATCATGTTTTCAAACAAAATTGTAACTGACTGGTGTATCATACAATGGAAACTTTTTTTCACAAAACTTTCTGCATGGCATTTCGCATTTTACACCTGTGGCAATCATTTGAGAAACGAGCACACAGTCCATCTGATGGAAAGTGGATGCTCCGGTTCATAGACAGTAAAAAGGGTTTCGGGTTCTCTACCCTTACCATAAGAAACATGGTATTGAGCTGCTATTTTACACTGGTATTCTGTAAGAGCGCGTTCCTTCCCCGGTCATGCTAATTTATTCGTGCCACATCTATAATATAGCTATAGCATGACTCAATCACGTAAGCCATATTGGCTTCTTGGAAGCCATAAATCTTACTGGTACTTCCGATAGTACATTCTTATGATACCTATGGGACGAAATGGTGTTATGGCTTCTCTTACATGTTTTCAAATAAATAACATGTAAAAGAAGGTTACCATGTATACTTCCATATATTATCAAAAGAATGTCAATTGCACGGGAAACGTATACCGCGCTAAAACTAGGGCACTTGGTCGTACTGTTAGCATTACACTAAGATACAATATGATAGGAAGAATAGAAAGTCCAGAATGTCAGGACACATCACAATACAGTCTTATTACAACCAAAATGGAAAATAGATAAATTATATAATTTCTTCACGAATATTATAGCTCTCTGGCTTTATAATACAGGACTTGTGATAGCAGTTGTGGTCTTCAGTAATAAATTCAAGAGTTAAATTTATTTAAATATTTTAAGCTATATTTCTACTATTACTTCTTTTTTAACTAGTCTGTCAGGGAAGGTTCCACCCTTTTACATATTTCTGCCGCTAAGCAGCAGTGTTCCAATGTTAAACTGCTTTTTCAGTCTGAAGCGTAAAGGGAGCCAGTATAACGTCAGTCTCTAAGGCATTCCATCTACGTCCTCAGAGGTGTCACCGCTATTGTCACATCTTAGAACTGCAGTAGCCACTTACCATCAGATGGGTTGTAAGTTCGTTAGCCACTTTAGTTTTATAAAATAAATATAATTGCAAAAAATACACGTTAAGATATGTCAAAAACGGGATACGACGGTAAATATAATATGATCAAAAAATCCCTTGCCGTGTACATACACGTTTCTTTGATGACATTTTCCTAGTTGAACGTGTAAGTTAAGTATCCATTCAAAAAAGTAAGCCACCTGCAATTCCCCGCAGTCAAAAATCATCTTCCGCTTAAATGCAAAAGCCGGAAATAATCCCCAGTGTAAGCTATATTATTAACGAAGCAATTTCAGTTGCTTGAACGTAACCACAGACTGCTTACGAATATCGCATACTGTGGTAAACCTCGCAATACGGCAATAAAATATGACATGGGAAAAAATTGCGGTAAAAAACTTTGTACAAACGGTTTTTGCATTCATTTAGAGTTCCATTTTATTAAAAAAAATATTTTTAAAACCAAACGTTGCTTTTTTATGGTTTCAAAAGCGTTTATTCACTTTTACGTAAACCATATCATTCTGGCAAATATAATTTGCGTATCATAGCAAATTATATTGTAATAAGCAAGCTTGCAGTTCACCCGAAAGTTTAAGGCCTCTGTGGTCCATAAATACAAATATTTAAAAAAATTATAGAGTAAAGGTAACAAACGGGCACATAGTCCACCTGATGAAAAATGGATGCTGTGGCCCAAATACTTCTAAATTTATCCTCGATTAAGAACCAAAACGCACCCCTTGCGTTTTCGCATTTTGACCCCTGAGGAGTAAGATAGAATGCCTCGTTTCTAGTAAAAAGGGGTCTCCGGGTCT